ATTAATCTTGCAGCGGCATTTTGGATTAATTGTAGAGGTTTGATAGAAGTGGCTGGAAGACCTGCCCAGAGAGCATTGCAATAGTCCAGCCTGGATAGAACAAGAGCTTGAACAAGGAGTTGTGTTGCATGTTCTGAAAGAAAGGGCCTGATCTTCCTAATGTTGTATAAAGCAAATCTGCAGGAACGGGCAGTTTTAGCAATGTAGTCTGAGAAATTCAGCTTATCAATCACAAATCCAAGGTTTTTAGCTGTTTTTGAAGGAGTTATGGTTGATGAGCCTAACTGATGGTGAAATTTTGATAAAGTGATGGGTTTGTTGAAACCACAAGCAGTTCTGTCTTAGCCAGGTTGAGTTGAAGGTGATGGTCCGTCATCCAACAAGAAATGTCTGTTAGACATGCTGAGATGCGAGCAGCTATCGTCGGATCATCAGGATGGAATGAGAGGTAGAGTTGAGCGTCATCAGCATAGCAGTGATATGAAAAGCCATGTTTCTGAATGACAGAACCATGTGATGCCATGTAGACAGAGAAGAGAAGTGGTCCAAGAACTGAGCCCTGAGGCACCCCAGTAGCTAGATGTTGCAACTTGGACACCTCACCTCTCCAAGACACCTTGAAGGACCTATCTGAGAGGTAAGACTCAAACCACTGGCGTGCGGTTCCTGAGATGCCATTTTCCAATAGGGTTGACAGGAGAATATGGTGGTTCACCATATCAAAAGCAGCGGACAGATCCAGCAAGATAAGTATAGAAGATCTGGATTGGATTTTTATACGTACTCACACTTAAAGGGACTTAAAGAGATGCACCTAAAAAGAAAAAAAATTCAACAAATGTAATTTAAAACCTGTTTAAGTTTTTCTTTTTTGTGTGAAACACAAAAGGATATATTTAGCTGAATGTCCAAGCTGCTTTTTTCCCCCACACAATGAAAGTGGATGGAGGACAGGGACAGCAGTCATTGTCATTCATATTCATTAAATAACATTCTATTAAATATCTTTTTTTTGTGTGTGTTTAACACAAGGAAGTTTGAAACTACAACAAGGTAAATAAATGATGTTCAAAAAAATTATAAAAACCTAAAATGTCTAAGTGTACATAGATAGATAGATAGATAGATAGATAGATAGATAGATGTGCAGTTAGTAGGGGTATATCCCAACAGACTCAAGGCAGATAGATTTTTTTATTAGATAGATTAGATCGTTTTTTTCTGACATGTTGGTGTTATATCTTTCACTTGGATGATGTTGTTGCACTGAGCGGGTATAGAAAAGAATCACCGGCTCATGTGTCAGCAGCATCATCACACGCATGCGTCATGGCACTCTCGTGAAAGCGCGTTGAAGACTGACATGGAAGAGAAGAAATTGTTGAATAAGGTTGTAATTTTTTTATTTTCTTTGCAGACAAAAAGTATTCTCGTAGCTTCATAACATTACGGTTGAACCACTGATGTCTCATGGACTATATTAACGATGTCTTTACTACCTTTCTGTGCCTTGAACATGGTAGTTGCGTTGCCGTCTATGGAGGGTCAGAAAGTAATGACAGAACTATCCTTTAATGCATTAACTAATGTTAACAAATAAAACCCTATTGTTAGGTGTTACCTTATTATTAATATTAATATTAACATCATCATCATCATCTGTAAGCAGTTGTAGCACTCCACTACTTAATCTTTCACAGTGTCACAGAAAAATTAAATTACATTATACCCAAGCTATGAGTCTGTGGTCACCAATAGTTAAATGTAAGAGAAAAGACTGGGATACCACAGAATAATGCAGAGACAATAAATAATTTCTAATGGGTTGTTCTTATTGGATGCACACAACTAGTATTGTCTGAATCACAAGTCAATGACTCTTACGAGCTGGTTCTTTTAAAGAATCACTCAAAGGTCTTTGGATCAGTTGAACAAATGACTCCCTGAATCTGTCATAGCAGTAAGTGAATAAACAGCTGATTCACTTATAGACCGTATGTTTTCTCAGAGGCTGTCACACTCTAAAATAAACAAAAGCGAATAATAAATGTAGTTCTTTAAACTTGTTGACTCAATACAAAACCACAGAGGAGAGTGCTGCCTCTTATTGAGATTCTACTTATGTAACGGCACATATGCATGTCACTGTTTGTGAAGATAATTCAGGAATGTTAAATAGCACTGACACAAATTAATAATTATTTGATACGACAGAATCAAAGGGCACTGGGGCTCCATGAGCTTTAAAAATTTGGATCAATACTCTACCTGTCATGAGACAAGCCTTTTCTGAGTGCTTCACACTGCTCTTGACCTTCCTCTTCATTTAATGCATTAGGCAAGCAAGTCAAGCAGAAAGCACTGCTTTCAGGGTCATACATTTATCATGTTTTAAAAGCCTGATCTTCAGAGCACTGAATTATATAATAATGTGCTGAAACCTTGGAGTGGATTGGTGCACAAAAAAGAAGAGATAAAAATAAACCAGGTTTTATGTTCATATATTATTCCCTCAAACTAAGGGATGAAGGATGTCCTTGAATATGTTATGGACCAAGTCAAAAGCATTTTGTTTGTTAAGGGACACGATTTATTTTGCTCTTTGTGTCAAATTGGCATGCATTCCTCGAGTCGGACTTTGTTTGAATGCACAATTGGTGAATCTTTGCGCTGTGAGTGATTACCGTGTAATTGGGATTGCCAGGTTGTATACGGAGTTCAGCGAGGATCCAGATCCCATTGGTAAGTTTGAGCGACTGATACAGCATGTCCTGGCCTTCTACGTTCCTCTTGGCGATGGTGTAGATGTTGTTGTTCTGCAGTTTGCCTGACACTGTATCTGCCAATACCACAGACACATGGTTACCCAACAAGATATTCACAGAAGTCTCTCACTAGACTACAGTTATCAGAAGAAAAGCTACAATTCATCCATTAAAAAAAACAAAAAAAATATGGAATGGTCTAATGAGCATTTGTTATAAGTATTTCCTATGAAACAGTAAGGGTACATGGCAATAACCTGTTTGTACCATGGATGAATGCATTGAATACACTTGTAATAGATACATTTCTGTCAGTTTCTTCACAATCAGCTTATGGTTGGCAAAGAGCATAAGCACAGTATGCAAATTACTAGCAAAGTATGAGCATTAGCACAACTGAAGGCACACAATGAACCGCAATTTGCTACTTGCAACTTCCTTGTTGGAGACAGTTGGTATTTGAGTAGTCTCGCGTAGCCAGACCTTCAGACTCACAGCAGAAGGTCTGGGAACCTTGGCCGCTTTGAATGGCAAGGACCGCCCAAGAGGCCATATGACTGACAGATAAAGCAACCAATCACATTTCGTTGTGTGCCGCATCATGTTTAGGGGCGTGGAAATGTCCCCACAATAACAGACCGGTGTGTAAAACATTTGGACGTATTTTAAAGATTCTATGCCGCGAACTTTAAATATTTCACATACTTTTGAAAATCCAGCGTTTAGTTGATCCTGATAAGCACTCATTATCACAATTGTAAACACGACGGCTTTCTTCTTCCATGAGGGGGTTGGGCGTCACGGCATATTTGTTTCTAGGCAGTACGTTAAAAGAACGCGACACGCACGTCTCCCGGAAAGCCTGTATAATTCAACCAATCCGATGACGACTTCGAATCTCCTGAAGTGTTTCCAATTTTGTGTGCCACATGCATCAGACGTGTAGCCAACGGTCCGTGGGTGTGACATCTGAGGCTGACATACAGAATTGTATTGTCCTCGAAAAAAGTCCATTCATCTTTCTTTTATCATTTGGGTGGAAAAAAGGGTTTTGCCTATAATCATAAAATGATTCAAATTAATTTTGAATAGTTTAAAATAAAAATACATTTTACCAATTTAAAGTAAAATTGGACTCACTACGAAAATATATAATGTATGTAACACACACACACACAGTATTTACACACACTGGCATTATCTAAAATAAAGTTTACCTGAGTTTAATTATATTTGTTATGATTTGGAACTACTTCCAAATTAATTTATTCAGTCCTGCAGTTATTAGTGATCAATAATAAATTTAATAAAAAATTTATAATACAATTTATTGGTCCATTTCCCTTGAAGAGAACGTCTGTACATTTTAAATTCTTTTTTTTTTTTGGAGCACATCAACAAACAAACAAACAAACAAAAATAAATAATATATATATATATATATATATATACACTGAACAAAATTATAAACGCAACACTTTTGTTTTTGCCCCCATTTTTCATGAGCTGAACTCAAAGATCTAAGACTTTTTCTATGTACACAAAAGGCCTATTTCTCTCAAATATTGTTCACATAAAAAGCATATAAATAAACCAACAAATAAATAACAGGGATAACAAAAGCCAACCCCAAAAACATTATATTAGTCGTCATGTTTACAAAAACCTTTTTAACTTAATAATCTACTGGTAATCTACTGACTGTCTTAAAACTACTTTACACATCATACTATGAAACTCCTGAGTGATGCTGTTCTGGAATAAATCACCCCTGAGCCATATCATTGCATTTTGGGAGCATTGGACTCCATGGAACGATTGAGAGGGAATGATGAAACCCCTGGCAACAGAGATAGTCATGCGCTGAAAGACAAGGACAGGCGCAAACAAGAGCAAGGTAAAGTGGCACAATAAAACGTAATGAAGTATTTGAAGAGGGAGAAAGACGGATTGGGGAAATAAAAAGCCATAAGGTTGACGGAAAAAGAAGATGGAAAACATTTATACAGAGAGAGAAAGGTCAGAGGAAGGTGGCAGTCAGTCTGCGTTATATAAGCCACAGAATCAGGTGATGACAGCTGGTATTAGCAACATGTGGAGTGTGCTGTGACTCACTCCAGTTCACACTACTGCTGTCAATCCTCTGAGTCTGTCCTCACAATACATAGCACACACACAGAGCAGCTCATGACGGGAGAGAGAGGCGGATGAGGAGGGACACCATGCAATATTAATACAAATTTTCTAAAGAATACAATAGGGTTTTGTGGGTGGCTGCCAAGGCATTGCTATGCGGTTGCTTAAGTATACGAAATGACTGTTAAAACATTGCTATGCAGTTGCTAGGTGGCTGCTTCACCTGCATCTCTATGATATTTTGGAGGACCTGTATTTCAATTATTCTTGATCTCTGTAATGTTCATGTACAGGCAGCAATTCTGCAGCATATCAATTAGGTTTGTAAATGGTTGTAAAACATTAACGCTGAAAACTAATTAGTGATGTTTATTTTCTGCTGAATTAAGTGCTGAAATTATTCATAATTAGGAATCTGTTGATCCACCGACACGAGCGCATCCCTTCCTCCTGGACCCGAGAACTGCAGCTGCATCCTGATAAAGAACAAATCGACCAGTCTCAACAACAACAAAATGCGAAACAACTTCCCACTAATTCAATTCTATGAGAAAACATTCAGTCATTTACAAATAATAGCAATGGACACGGTGTGGGAAAAGGCATTCGGTTATAGCTTGCCCTCAATTGTACGCTCCATTACGTTCACATTGTTATTCAAGTCATGACAAGCTAGAGCCAATCTGCATCTCACAATGGCAGTTGATTATTCTCTACATGCAAATAAACACGACTGAAACAGAACAGCATGGCTTCTCCTCCCAAAACAAGGCATCAGAGAAAGAGGGGAAAAAAAAAATCAAACAGGCTCTCTGTGCTGGTCCCCGTGTTCGGCGCTCCTCCACCCCACGTGTCTGCTGCTGTATGCTCAAATTGGCTCCAGGTTGATAAATACAAATAGCGAGCTGATAAGCCTTGAAATAAACCAGCTCTGTCAGAGTCTGTGCACAGCCCACCACATTCCACAACATTTTTACACTGCCACCAGACTAAATAATTAACCATGAATTATAACAGAATGGTGGGAACTCCAGAATGGGGACCTTTTCTGCTTTTTAAAATCTCAAACTGTGCAGTGGATGTTGTGTAATAAAGCTTGAAGCAAATAATTCAATTGTTGGCTTAATATCAAAGCATCATGAAGTCACAGTCATAAATCAAGAATCTATGCTTGTTCAACACTGTCTGGGACTATGGTGAGGCCTGTGCAATGAGCTTTAATACTAGGAGTGTAAAAAAAAAAACATAATAGAATGATTAGTATGTATTACATTGCCATGTCTTATACAGAATATAATTTCTGAGCCATTCCCAGCTCACCAAGGCTGCATTTATTTGATACAGCAAAAACTGTAGTACTGTAAAATATTACTACAACTTAAAAGAAATATTTTTTTTTATATATTTTATTTAAAATTTATTTTTATTCCTGTGATGGCTAAGCTACACTTTTAGCAGTCAGTACCCCAGTCTTCAGTGTTGCTCAGTCTAGTATGCTTGTTTGCACCCCAAGAAACATTTCTTATTATTATCAATGTTGAAAACGGTTGTGCTGCTTAATGTATTTTATAGCAATCAATTTTAACATTGTACATTTGTACATGTAAATAGAATCATATTAATTGGAGTGTCTTTCAACCAGACACATTGTGGAAGGTTCCAATTCGCTGCATCAGGTGCCAGTCTGGATATGGACAGAGCCCAAACTACAAAGAGGTATGAGCACTCTGCCAAACAGCTCAAAAGGCCTTTCCAGTTACCCTGCTATTTGTAAACTTTATGCTATCTGCCTTTGATTCAATGACCACTGATCCAAACCCCTCTACTCTAACTCATGAGTCAATGCAAGTTGAGCACTAGATGAACTCACCTGCGTTTAAGTGGCAGTCTTTGATCTGGTATTGCAGCTCATTCTCATTTGGAATGTCCTTCCATGTGGCCAAGAACACCTGACGCTCTGTTGAAGAAAGGTTTAAAGCTTATCAAGTGGGATTGGCCAATCAGTGTCTAAAGTGTGCTCAGTCCTAGCTACATCCCATCAATCCACTCTTTTATAAAACCTAAGCTCAATCAAAACCTCAGTGTGAAACAGTGTGCTGTTTTTAGATTGAGCATGTGTGCGCGGAGTACTTGTACCCATTTTGCCATCCTCCACGAAGAAGACGTTGAGAGGGATCAGCGTGCTGAAGTAGAAGACATCAATATTGTTTTTCACAGCCACCTGGGGTGAGAAAGGTTGAGCGGTCAGACTTTAAAATACACTTCACTGTATAAGGGTCTAAAACGCCTCTGCAGCCCGACTGCATTTTGATGCTGTCCTTATTCACCAAACGGAATAAGAGCTTTCAGTTACACAGAAAGGGACAGAAAAGGAAAAGGGAAACAAGAAGAAAGGCACAAGAGCAGAAAAGAGGGGTAGTAGAAATCAATGGTTGCAACCCGCTGATGAGTTCTTTCATATTTTACACCATGTAAATATTATTAGACTGCAAAGCGAGCCATAGAAATCCAATGAATAAATTATGGCATAACTGACCTCTATTTTTAGCCACCCAGTGTGTTCTTTGTTGGAAAGGAAGGTCATTTAATTTTTATTAGTCATAGAAGCACAATCGGCAGACTTTTTTGTATTTTCTGACTAATTTAGGAGAAAATGTGGAATGGTTTTAAAAATAGTTCACCCAAAAATGACAATTTGCTGAAAATGTACTCACTCTCAGGCCATCGAAGATGTAGATGAGTTTGTTCATTCATCAAAACTGATTTGGAGATATTTACATCACTTGCTCACCAATGGATCCTCTGCAGTGAATGGGTGCCACCAGAAAAATCATAAAACATCATAATAATCCACAAGTAATGGACTCCAGTCCATCTATTAATGTCTTGTGAAATTAAAATCTGCATTTGTAGGAAACAAATCCATCATTAAACCGTTTTAACTTTAAACCCATTTCTTCAAAAATGAGTCCACAATCCATAACAACAGACCTAAACAAATATGTTGGTGGATTTTAATGTGAGAAGGCAACAGGGGATGGACTTTTTCACCGGAGGAAGCGTAATTATAAATTATGGACCTTGGTGATGGATTTGTTTCTTGCAGCTTTTCATTTCACAAGACATTAGTTGATCAACTGGAGTTGTGCTAATCACTTGTGGATTATTGTGATGTTTTTATCAGCTGTTTAGTCTCTCATTCTGACGGCACCCACTCACTGCAGAGGATCCACAGCTGAGCAATTGATGTAATGCTAAATATCTCCAAATCTGTTCCAATGACAAAACTCACCTTGAGGGCGAGTACATTTTCAGCAAATCTTCATTTCTGTGTGAACTATTCCTTTAAATAATACAAGGTAAAAAAATAAAATATGAAACATACTTGGATGAATCATTCAGAATGATCTATAATATGCATTTACAAAACAGACGGGTTAAATTTTTATTTCATGTCGACTTTAAATTTTATGTAAAAGGGCAGCTGGTACACTCTTCAAAATTTGTTGTATGTGTTTGCGATGACAGGACGATAATTAATACACCTGTTTAATTAACTTGGACATGGTCAGATCACAGTGTCTCCTGGCCATTCAAAGGGCATTCAGCTGCTGTTTACTGTGATGACTCTTCAGCTCATGAGAAGCCTGAACTCATTAATACAAGTCATAAACACTCTGCGGGCAGCTCTGTTTAATAGTGAATACCCAGATGCTTACACTGACAACAGTGAAGAGAGGAGAAGAGTCACAGAAAAGGATCCTTAAACAGGGGGCGCATGAAGCAAAGAGAGTAACCCAGCAGGATGTCATGGGCAGAAAATAGAGGTGGAGGAGGAAAAATGTTGGGACATCTCATTGGGACAGCAAACACTGTTGGACATCCATCCAAAGATGAACCGACACACTGGTTTAAAACGAATGAGGCAGAAACATGTTGATATAAATCATATGAAACGATGATGATTCATAATGACATTTGTATCTGATTGATGATCTGCATTAATAGACTAGCCGTGGGCAAGTACTCTGGAGTGTTTTAAAGGCATGAAATTGAATCTTTTGCAGCTGCTGCTCACACAAATTATCTCAGTAACTAACGAAGCACGTGGGGACAACTGACTCAAATAATCAGAGACCAATGTGCGTGCTGTGCAGTTGAGAGCTCGGAGGTTTGGATACACAGAGATGTAATTTAAACATTAACGGCATATTTGTAATGTGTTATTTCCTGTGGGATGATTAATGCAAAGAAGGGACCTCAGGGGGACCCATGGGCGTGTGTGGCTGTGTATGGGGGAGTGAAAACACACAGCGAAAGGCAATAATGCATTGTACCTGTAGGTTGTTGAGTGGGTCCATTTTCATCACAGGGCCGATGGTGTTGAGAGGGAGGGAGATGTCGATGCTCTGGCTGGGCATCAGTGGAGTGTGAATGGGGAGAGGTGTGGTGGGGATCACTCCAAAACTAATGACAACAACAAAGCATATGTACATAGCCTCTCATTGCTCTACTTTATGTATCAGTTACAGGCAAGGCAAATTAACACTTAGCGAGCGAGAGCAAAAATTTGAGTTACTGGCTATGTGGCCTGATTTTTTTGATGAATTTATCTGAAATGCAAATCTTTTGTAACCTTATAAATATCACTTTTGCTCAATTTAATGCATCTTTGTTGAATACAATTTTTTTTTTTTTTAATTTTAAAACCTACGGACCTCGAATTTTTTAATGGTAGTGTATTTAAAATGTATTATATATATAATACTAAATTCAGTTATATAACCAAATATACTGGTATTATTTAAAATAAAACAACAATTACTCAAATATAAAATCTTCATTTTGGACACTGGTTACAGAAAAAATATGCCACAATGACTATCATCAACTATTATCAGAATGATTAATATCATAAACATAAACACAGACCTGTTCTTGTTGAACTGGACGGCAAAGTCAGTCATGTGCTGCAGTGCTTTATTGGTGAAGGTCATGTCCATGTACATGTGCCCTTGACGCCGAGAGAAGGTTCCAAATATCTCCAGTCCTTTTGCCTTGACTGCTGGCAGCCATACCTTCACAAACCAAAGAAATTAATCCCCACCGTACCTCCTCTGTTTTACAGTTTTGTTTACTTAATAAATTAAGGCTATGCTCTTCTCTAAGAGGATAACTACAGTCATTCTAAATTGAAGGGCACTTTAATGCAGGAGTCTGACATTCGCTTACACTCACTCACCCAGACACTGCTTACAAGAACTGAGCTGGCATCCAAAAAGAAACAAAATCAGATAAAAAGAGACAAATGAACACATATATAAGTAGGCACCCAGAGCACCAGGGGAATTGGATAACTCCACAAGGTAGATCATAAAGGACTAATTGTGCTCTGTCCTACTCTACTGATTTACTCTGGCTCTAATGGAGCTCTTATTAATGAAGATGCCTGAGACTTTGTGCCCCCGCAAGCTGTTCTGCACGCCTGCATTTATGTAGCACATGAAGTTAATGCTCATGCTGGACAATGAGAACAGACTGAACTTCCTTTCTTGAAAGGCTCTTCATTATGATATAAAAGATCAGAAATGGGTGAGGGGTTATGGTTTAAAGTTAAGTGGTGAGTAGCACTCACAGTTTTAGGTGCCACAAATCCTCCTGTAGCAACGGACATTCCTGAGGACAACTCAAACAGGTCATTGAGGCCGCTACTGAGAGCAGCAGGTGTAGGAGACGGAGCGAAGGTGTTGGGCACCGATGACGGGATGAAGTTTTGGCCCACCTGCGTGACACAAACAGAGATCATAGAGATAAGATTTCTAACCGTCAAAAGAGTTTAAACTACTCTAGGAAGCGTTTGTGTATCCTTTTAAATCACAGCAACAGGCATTCTTCATGTAGGCGACACCAGTTGTGCAGGATATGAGGAGAATGAATTGTATTTTGATATTAGGGACAAACCACACTACTGATCAAATGTTTGGAATAATTAAGATTTTGCAGTGTTTTTAAAAGATGTCTCCTATGCTCACCAAGGCTGCATTTATTTGATCAAAAATACAGTCAAAATATGATATTGTGAAATAATTAATAAATTAATATTTTAATCTAATGGAACTGTTTTCTATTTTAATATATTTTAAAATGCAATTTGTTCCTGAGATGTCAAAGCTGAATTTTCAGCATCATTACTCCAGTCTCCAGGGTCATGTGATTCTTTAGAAATTATTCTAATATGCTGATTAGGTGCTCAGTTATTATCAATCATTATTGGTATAAATTAAATAATAAATGATTATTAATCAATGTTGAAAGACAAAAATATTAAGCAGCAAAAATGCTTTTCAACATTGATAATAATGAGAAATGTTTCATTCTGAAGGATCATGTGACACTGAAGACTGGAGTAATGGCTGCTAAAAATTCAGCTCTGCCATCACAGGAATAATTTTTAAATATATTAAATTATAATAATATTTCACAATATTAATATTTTATTTTTGATAAAATAAATGCAGCCTTGATGAGCAAAGGAGACCAAGGAAAAACAAGGCATTTAGGTACCAAAAAAATTTTTAAAAATCACCAGCACTTTAAAGACAAATGACAAAGTAGGTTATGTTAAACAGAAGTTCATCATATCAGGAACATCATATCACCTCAAAGCAGGATGGATTTTTGTGCAAACAAAAAAGAAACAAAGCAGAACACAGCTAGGTGTCTACACTAGACAGGCTATTAAGAATCATATAAATAGCACACAACATGCTGAGTGCGGACAGACGGATACGAGCGGAGAGAGAGAGAGGAGCTCACTTACTGCAGGACTGCCCCCAACACCTCCTCCCAGATCTCCCCCGAGCTACAACAGAGAACAGAAGACCCATTTCCAGGCCAACAAACAACATGAGAGAGACAGAGAGACACGTCCAGGATCCATTATTAACAGAGTTTTCCTGTTTACAAAGGAAATGTCGTCACAAACAACTTTTAAAACCTGCTATGTTGTACTTTTTGTTTTGCCAGTTGCTAAAATCAACCTGAAAATGTAATCTATGAGACACCCGCTGCTATTGATTCAGCTGTGGACTAAGACTGAGATGAGTGAAGCTGCAGGAAGGAAGAGTTGAGTGGTGCTCCTGCATTACAGACAGTTATTGTTGCTGAATCCCCATGATGGTTAGCACTGAAGCTGAGCAGTGATTTCATAGGCTGAAAGCAACAATTCAGCTTTTTTTCAGCGTGTTAGCAAAAGTTGTGGAATTGAAGGAAAAACAGATTTGTGAGTGAACCGCACTGGTGAAAATCCTGAAATACTGAAAAAAAAAAAATCCACAAGACTTCAACAATACGACAAAATGTCACTATGTCCATAACATGAGATAAATATTGCTATTAGAGCTATTTTACTGTAAAATAACAAATGAATAAGAAAAATATTATAAAAGCAGGGCAAGACTTTTTTTTATCCATTGATATTAATTGGACTGTGGTAAATGTTTTATATAATGGGTGTAGAGATTTGGTGATAACAGCAACTAACTAGAATGAAAAATGTTTCAGTGGACCGAAGTATTACATTTTGATGAAAGACAAATATTTCTTTTTGTTTGGAATAAAGTTTACCAATGCATCCTGCACAATAATACTATAAATGTGCATTTAGAAAGTAAACAGGGTCTTTGAATTTATGATGACTAAAGCCATGTAAATTCCTTCTCTCAGTCCACATTCCTCTTACTGACCTTCAGCCGTACAGTCACCTTGATTTTCTCAGTGAGGAAATGAGCAAGATTAAACAACCCTACAGCTTCACACTCAGCAGGACACAAATCACAAGCTGAGCTGTAAAGCGCAACATGCAACATTTAGGGTTTGGGAGAAGTGGATGGTTGTGTCAAATGCAAATATTCTTAACCAAATTTCAATGGAGAGAAAAAAAATAAAACACTTGAGTTTTCGGAGTCATAATGTTATTCAGATTAGACATAGACTTAGTGCCCCAGACCTGCTAAATGTCAATGTAAATCTGTTATGAGATAAAGAGGCCGGTAAGACTGCGAGTTTAAAAATGCATCCCTTCAGGTGCTGAGTCTGCAGCGTTCGTCTCTTTGAAACACTCACGACCTTGAGCAGTCAGATGCTTCTGCAGATTGTTCAATGTTTAACATTCCTCAGCTCTGAACACTGTCTTCTTGACGAGGATGACGAACACATTGGTATTTTATTGGAATGACTCATTTAGTCAGCAAAAGTATATTCATTGTGAATACAAACCTTTGTGCTAGTGTTAAGCTGTGAGATGTGACCAGGTTTAACAATTAGGTGGAAAGGAAAAAATAAATCACTGCCAATTTGTTTGACAATCCATTCTAAATCTTGTACACTCCTGTCCATTTTGAGTACTGAATTTTTGTTGGATTCCATGTCCATTTAGAGAACATAAAAGGTCATTACATTCAGCATTAGGAGTCAGTGGCAGACCCAATAAGAATTATTACACCAGATCAAAACATAACTCTCAGTTAGGCATGAGGCACTCATTTTTTTGAGTCATGAGTTGCCTGAGTGAATAGCTGGGTGATCGGCCTCAAAGTAGCTCTGAATAATTAGCTCTCAGGTTCATCTAATATGTTAAGAGCTGTTTGCATAAAACACGTTCTTGTGTAGAGCTAGAAGGAACAGAACACAGGAGCGGAACGCATCTCTTGACAGGTTTTACAAGCTTTGTCAACCCAAACTTCAAATTGCAGTAGGAAACTCATAAATATGACGCAATGGCCAAGGACGTCTGTCTGAATGGCTGTAGTGGTGTTGCTTTATGGGGAATGAATTTAAAGACACAACCGCTCCTGTATAGTGCAGATTTACTGTTTAGCAAACTGTCGAAGAGCTAAAGCATGCCAATTAAAGCACAGGAAAAACAGAAACAAATGATATAAAACAATTATAATAATACACTACCATTTAAAAGTTTGGGGTCAGTAAGATTTGTTTTAAGAAATTAATTCGTTTTTATTCAACAAAAACGGTATTACATTTAAATGAAATTACATTAAATTGATCAAAAGTGACAGTAAAAGTGACTTTTACACTGTTATAAATGATTTAAATTTCTAATAATTGCTGTTCATTTGAATTTACTATTCATGAAAGAATCCTTAAAAAACATTCATCACCGTTTCCACAGAAATATCCAGCAGCACAACTGTTTTCAACATTAATAATAATATAAAGACATGTTTCTTGAGCACCAAATCAACATATTAGAATGATTTCTGAAGGATCATGTAACACTGAAGACTGGTGTACTGCTGAAAATTCAGCCTTGCATTAAAACGAATAAATTACATTTTAAAATATATTAAGATAGAAAACTGTTACTAATAATTTAGCAATGTTTCAAATATTACTGTTTTTAACTTTACTTCTATTTTTGATCAAATAAATGTAGCCTTGTGAGCATAAAAGACGAATTTGAAAAACATTAAAAAAAATTTTTTTAAATCTTACCAACCCCAAACTGTATGTATAAGAGAATATATCTAGATAGGTGACTAGTCTGTCAATCTTTGTGACCCATCTTAACATTATATTATCTATTATATATGTCATATCTTGCCTGGGGCACAAGAACCAGCACCTCAACTTTTCCCACCTCTGAATACTGATTTAACTGCTGGTCAAGTCTCACAACCTATGTTTTGTCATTTGGTGGAGGAGTGGTTCATAAGGAGTATCACTGAGCAGTGAAACTCAATTATGAGTATATCACTAGTCTAGAGACGGGATTGCAAAACCTTTCCTTACAGTCCTGTTCAACACGTCTTGAGCTAGAACAGCATCTTCACACAGCAAGTGGCATTGTGTCTCTATCCTGGTTTGTATAGGGCACCCGTGCAAAGCTCTGACATAGATACTCCTCCAATTTGGGAGAAGATTGCACTGAGGAGATAAAAATGCTTTACATGTGCCATGCTGGAGATGGCTGCTTGACAAATCCAATTATTCACAAGGAGGAGAACATAGGCCTTTTGTGGCTCCAGGAAAAAAAATGAACAAATTGCTTCTGGATGTGAAGATCCTGGCATATACCTGCAATATTTCCCATAATATTCATTAAAGGGACAGATCACCCAAAGATGAAAGTTCTGTCATAATTTATTCACCCTCATGTCATTAGACAGTACAATTTTCTTTAGTGGAGCACAAAAGAGGGTATTTTGCTGAACGAAGGTAAGATGGTTCATTTTTAAAGCTCTCAATTCAAAGCCTGACAAAGACCGATTGGGGTCAAAATGTTGCAATTCATTCAATTAAAATTCTTAGGGAGCAAAAATAACAGTGTGTCTGTCTTTTTGCATATAACTTTTAAAGCTCAACACAACAGCCATCATTAACTGTCATTGCACTGTAAAAATGATTTTTCAAAGTTGCAAATAAAAGACTATTGGAGTATGTGTCACTAGAAAATACCATTTTAGCCTTTCTACTTTAAAATTTCATATTTTATTCAATGTGTTAGGGTAATCACAGGTTATACCAAATTTTTCAGTATAAGGAAAAGAGCAGTTAAGACATTCAGTAAAATTCCACTGAAGAAAGTGACATAAGGGTGAGTAAATTATGACACTGGGTTGAGCTACTCCTTGTAAATAATCTGTGAATATGGTTACACTTTATTTTAAGGTGGTGATGTTACAGTGTAATTACACAAATAAGTACATATACTACATATACTTACTATGGGGTTACGTTTAGATCCTTGTAATAATACATAATTTATTATTAACTTGTAGTACTATAGCACATGTAACATGTAACTACACCTTAAAATGAAAATTTATCATAAATATTAAAATAAATGTAAATATTAAATGGTTTTGTGAATGTTTAGATTTCTCAGCGTGTTCATTTTATGCTGTCCTTTTAGAGAACATGAACATTAAGATTTGCACACATCCTGACCAAAAATGTTAAATCTTTTCTTTACTTCACTCAGGAACTGTGCATGTGTGTTTTGAGTGGAAGATTTTATGTGGGTTGATGACTGTGTATAAGACGGCAAGACATTTAGCCCTGGGGTTCTGGTGCTGCAGTTGAGCTCTGCTTCAGAGTCAGAACACTTCATATACCACAGCCTCTCCACTTCAACACATGCACATCCTGCAGCTACGCCATGATCAGTGCTCAAAAAAAATATTAAAGGGGCCATATTTTACAATTATGCAGCATGTTATTTTTACCCTGAATCCACCAATAATGTTAGTCAAGGTTTTTTGCACCAAAAATGTTGCAGTTTAGTTTCAAATGTACATTTTTCACTCTCTCTTTGACCTCTGAATTAAACTAATGCTGCAACTGTACCTTTAAATTTTATATGTAAATGATCTCTGCTATGATTGGATAACCTAAATATACCGTACCATATAGATGTAAATTTGGGTAATCACAGGTTAACATGCTCCAGTTTGTGTCAGAGTACAGTGGGTTCCAAAGGTCTAAAAGTATGGGATTTAAAAACAAATTAAGGCCGAGAGGCACACCGAGAGGCACCTTTTTAAAAATAAATTCTATTGTCAGTGAGCATTCTGCGTGCTGTTTATGTGCACTTTAGCCGCCCGACGTCATTCGCATTTTTTTTTCCATTGTCCAATCGAATGAATGGAGAGGCGGGCCTTCTCTTTTGGTGACAGGTGTTTACAGTTGCTTGGAATGTCTGGAGACTGCAATGATGGAGGAGAAACTCTTCGTGGCTGTCGCAGGTTACCCCATAGCTGTATTTTTATTTTTTTTCGTTTCTGCTAATATGACAGTTTATTTAACAGCAAACCAAAGATTTTAGAGCGCTTGCGCTATAATCCTTGATTAGACTGACAGGACAGCTGATTCGGTGGTTGCCTAGCAACATAAAAAATGCAGCGTACTGCTTAAAAAAAAAAAAAAAGTAAACCAAAAAAGGCAGTGCGGTGCTCCTTGTGTTTTCAAATCTGAAAAACGCGTTCTGTCTGATCGGGGCCTTACACTTGATAATAAACATTATGAAATTAAGAAATATTTCTGATTCTGCAATTTTGTGTCACTAAGCAAATAATTAAATGTACAGATGTTCAGATTGTTCTTGCTTCCATTGAATCTCAAGATGCTCTTGGAATCATCTCAAATCAAAGCAAAAGAGGGACAAACCAAATACTAAAATGTTCTGAAATTCATGTTCATTTTTTGTTCAAATTGTTATACTGTATACTGATAACATTATTTGCATTGAAAAGGACAGGCATGTCATATTGACACTTTTGGACCCACTGTATATCTACATAGTACAATCAAACTCTTATCAACAAAAGGGCAAAAAATCCTGTTTTCTATTATATGCACACCTAAAACTGCATTTAGTCGTGATCAGCCTTGAGTTTCCCCGCATCATATTTCAAGTTTGGATTTGCAGTACTGAGCAGCATTCAGCACTGTGTCAATAAATGATGAGCGTTTGATTGAAAGTCAAAGCGCTTATGCAATCACATTCCCTTTCCAGTTAACAAGCGCTGACCTCGCTGCTGTTTCACCCTGCAGTTCTTCACTTTGCTGTTCACTGTCATCAGGCAGAAGCTTGTGAGACGTGGTGGTCATGGTAACGAGTGTGGTTACCGCTCAAATGTGAAATACACTGCTGCAATCATCTCACGCTTAGTGGAATACCCTAAAGCCTCTAAACCACACCTGCACCAGTGAACACGCTATCCAGGCTGAACTCAAGCCGCAGAGAAACTAGTGAGCTTAAAAAACAAACACTGGTCACTCTAAAAGGGCGTTATAAAAGACGGTAAAATCCACCAACAGAAACAGACAATTATAAGACAAGAACACGCACCAAACTGTCCAGACCACCTCCGAGGAGATCCACAGCGCCTATCTGCATGGAAGACCCCTGTGGCACGTTGACGGGGGGACCGAGGTCCAGATTAAGCAGGTCTCCCAGAAGGTCACCCTGAGATGGAATGACTTGGGGTTGATCGATAGAAGCAGTCGGGCCGGCACTGACTGGACTCTCCCCAGTGTCGATACTACAAAAGAATGATAACACACACTGAGATGGGCAACACTGAGTGAACAAAGGATTTTTCATTGTTCTAGTGGAGAGAGGACAACATTGGGTCTGTTTGGCACTACTTTCGATGAGTCCCCCCATTGTATTACGGGACTGAGACTGATTCAGACATCCTTTTTCGAAAAACAGAGAATCTCACATAGAGATGAAACAACATGAGCCATTTTTAGCCAGTGAAATGTTCAAGACGTTTAGCCGCCTCAGTACCTGCCATGCTGGATGGGCAGATGTTTGCGGTGAATGCCGTGGCTTCCTTCCACAAAGGCATTGGGGGGTTTGTGGTAGACGGAGGCCAGTGAGCCGATGTGGCAGATGAGCTCGTCCAACAGGGTGGGCTCGATCAGATCTGTTTCCTCTGAAATCAAAGGCTTCTCAGACAGCACAACCTCTTTAGCGGTCACAGGGTCGGTGGACAGCAGGCGCCAGTATATGTAGCCGCGATCACGCAGGTCAGGGTTATCAGAGTCCTGAGGAGATGAAGAAAAAATGGAGTGTGAATGGAGAGGAAACGTAACACTGACAGCCAGACGCTGAGCTCCTTTTGAGATTTGACACTATTATCCATCATGCTGTTAGAAAAACACTGTCGTGTGCAATGAGCATAAGTTTGCAATTGTCTTTCATTACAAATATATTCAAAAAAATAAATCTTTATCTGACTGATATATAGTGCATATGCACTTGTTAACTGTATTTTTGATATGTAGGATCAAGCACTAAAGGCCAAACAAATAATTTTCAGCTGCTAATATCAGCACCTCTCCATCTCACCTGAGTGGCCAGACTGAGCACTTGCTGAACCAGCTCCTGAGTCTCTGAGGGCTTCTTCAGGAACAGCTTCACTATGGCTGTCAGCAGAGTCAACTGGACCTGAAAGCAACAATGCAGTGGATACTGAATCAGATCCCTGCTTTTAAACAAACTAAATGCTGTATACAAAACAAAAACCATAACAGAAACACCCAAACAAAACAAAAAACACCACAAAAAAAAAAAACCTCACCAAACCAAACAATAATATCAAACCTGAGTGCTTTCATCATGGAAGCCCTCAAGGAAACTCTCCAGGAGCTCATCAGCGTTGTCGATACGCTCGGCATATTCGCCGACAATCCAGATCATGGCAGCTCGAGCATCTGGTTCATCCAGAGAGTCCAGGTTTTCACACAGAGTAGCAATTATGCTCTCATACCTGCACAGACAACAGAGAGGTGTTTTAGCTGCCCATTAGTTACATGTTCTTTCATTCCACATTAGTTTACAAACTAAGGCTACATTTACACGACAACGATGTAGCCAAAAACGGAAACGTTTTTCCCTTGCGTTTTTAAAGGGGTCATATGATGCTTTTTTAAAGATCATTATTTCCTTGCGTTTTTAAAAAGTTTCACGTATACACGACAACGTTTTCAAAACGATTCGCATTTATCCGCGAAAACGGCCAAAAACGCTGTATTACGTATGCCAGGCCAGTAGTTGGCACTGTCACCTTGTTAGTAAACAGTACCTGTAGGGAAGTCACGATTATATGTTGTATATGATGCGTCTCCGCTATTGGTTGTAATATTGGTGAAGTAAATCCACACTTTGCTGAAGAAGAGTTAGCAAAGGCTTGCCTTTAAAATCAACACATACTGCGCATGTCTACATACCCAACACGTACTACGCACGTGCATGACGTCACCGTTTTGAAAGATTCCCGTATTGGGTGTTTACACGGAAACGTCAACGGGGCCGTTTTCAAAAACTTGCACTTTGAAACCCGTTTTCAAAAATATGCGTTTTCGTTGTCGTGTAAACGAACAGTCAAAACGCATAAAAAGTTTCCCGTTTTTGGATGAAAACATTGTCGTTTAAATGGCCCCTAATATATACTCCTAGTGTGCTGCGTACACAGGTCGGCTCCTCACATGAAGACTGTTCCAAAAAGTGGGTTCCTTAATAATGCTAAGATACCACATTTTAGTCTAATTCTAGGGCAGCACAGAATGTACACTTTACAGAAACTGCAATCCCAGAAAACATTGTGACAAGCTCAGTGAAAAGACAAGCGTGATTTCATTCAGTACTAAAAGGTTACAAAAAAAATGTCATATGAGAGCTATGAACTGACTTGTTGGGGTATTTGCGGAAGATGTCCCTAATGACCACAATGGCCTCTTGCACGACGTAATTGACTTTAGTCTGGATGAGGTCCAGCAGGGTGCTAACACAGCGCTCAGCTGATTGCTGTACACACAGATATAAGAGAAAACTCAGTCACAGCTATACATTACAATGACAAAACTCATCACAGCACTACAGCACTTGATCCATGGTACACAATGAAAAAAGCAATATAGAAAAGAAAATTCTATATTGCTTATAGAAAAGAAGAGATTTTAAGACATTTCTCTATGGAATGAGGTGACATACATACAGATAGAGCTGAATAACATACCTCCACTTTGATGGCACAACGGCCGATGGCTCGAACGGCTTTCCTAACAAAGTCTACATCCACTTCAGTAGCATACTCTTTCAGTTCAGCCAGTACCTACAGAAATTAACATCATTTTAAATGGATTTCTATAGAAACTAATCATACTTCCGAATGAATTAAATGAAAGGCTGAATGACCTCCACAAATGAAAGGCTGAATGACCTCACGACGTTATAAGCTTGGGGGGAAAGTTCGGGAAGAGTCTGATGTTAACATCTAACAAATGGACATGTTTGTGGGGGAAATAGCTAAATGACTTAATATAAGTAAATGGAAAAACAGCAAAGAGGTGTATTAGAATGAAATGTAACGAAGTAATTTGTCATCAGATGCAGTGTAAGCAGAGCTGTCATTTTACACGAGGCAGCTCAGAGCTTAATGGGCTTAAGCATGTGTTTTTTGCTAAACACAATGACAAACCATCACTGAATATAAAGTGTAAGGGACCATATTCATTTTAGGCACAATTCTGAGTAATATGCAATTAGGAGAAATTGACAGTTCCGCTTTACCGAAGATTAATTTGTTATCTTTGGAATGCAATGTGCAATATAAAAAAAGTGTACATATGTAGGTCTTGCATACTCATACAAAAAAGACATGTACATTGTACATTAATTAATGTTGCATTTTTATGTAACATTCAGTCGAACATTTAATTTTTCATTTGAAATAAAGTGTTGATACATTTTCCTGTTACTGAAATCTAAATCTCAGATTACTGCTGCCAATGTCCTAGCTACATTTTTTTGCTAGGATCACAGGTAATTTAGGACAGAGCCGATCTATGAGAGAGAGAGATCGCTATATTTACATAAATGACAGTGTGATCGCTATATTTACATAAATGACAGTGAAAATCATTGAAGTTAATGATCTTATTAATGCAGCTTTAATTAGAGTTAGAGAAATAGCTCTATTTTTTTTTAAACGTTTAAAGTCGTGGATTAGCTGGCTGCTTCTGCCGACTAATGAAAAGCACTGGCTACAAGATAAATGTGTGTGATTTCTTTTGCAACTACAGAACTACAGATTCTTAAATGCTCAAACTTGCTTTGTTTACTTCACACCATGATAATAATCACGAGATACAGTTTTCTTGTTGAATATCCTGTTCACATTGTCTTTAAAGTAGTGCTGTCAAACAATCAATTGCATCCAAAATAAAAGTTTTTGCTTACATATGTGTGTGTGTACTGTGTATATTTATTATGTATATATAAATACACACACATGCATGTATATATTTAAGAAAAATATGTTTTGTTTATATATAAAATATTTATATATAATATAAATGATATATGAATATAAATATATATACACGTAAATATTTGTAAAATATATACGTATGTTTGTGTGTATTTATATATACATAATACATATACATAATACATATTATATAAACAAAAACTTTTATTTTGGATGCGATTAATCACGATTAATCATTTGACAGCACTACTTTAAAGCTAAGAGTCAAACATAGTTTGAAATACCTGGGCAATGTTGGCATGAGAGGCCAGGCGGATCATGATGTCCAGTTTCTCCAGTTTGACGTAGATGGGGTCATTGTACTTGACAAAGAACACTTTGATCTCTTGCTTTAAAATCTCAGGCCTGCAGGTAGAGAGAGCGATCACCATTTGATCAAAACATTTAGAATACCTAAGCAAACAGACAGCTGGACAGTATTGCCATCTAGTGACAATACAGAATGTGCTCATGTGTAAAGACACTGAGTGATTAGCACAACTCTTAAACTAGTGCCACAGAAAACAACTAAAAAGACTGAAAAATAAGGACAGCAGTCTAACCGTTTCTGCACAATAAGGTTGATGTTCCTCAAGGCCACATATTGAACCTCAGGTTCCCCAGACAACAGCGTGACGAGGGGAGGAGAGAGCTTCTTCAGAAGAGTGTTGTAGTAATCTGAGTCTTTGGGCAGGAGTTCCAGAAACTTCATCAGTACCTTCACCGCTGACAGCACCACAGCCGAGTTAGCATGAGAGAGACGTGGGGTTACACGCTCACAGATACTAAAAGAGACAGAAAGAGGGAGTTCAGAAAGATGCTCTGGCATTTGTTACTGAATAGGTTTACTTTTTTTTTTTTTTTTCAGAAAAATAACTTGATATATTTTCACAATATTGACACAACTCTTGCCAAAATTGTTCATCATTAGATTGAACATGGAGGACAAAACCCCTATTAATCCTGCTACAAATGGATTTAAGTTTTCAACCTTGGATTTGGATCATTTTTAAATGTTTCAATAAAGTTGGCATGGAATGAATTAACAGAATGGATTGGAATATAAAGTGTGATGTACCTCAAGGTTCTGTCCTGGATCCTATTTTATTTAGTCTTAATGTTACTTTCATTTGACATTTTGAGAAAAAAAACTATATACTTAATTCTTATAGCTAGTTATAGCAAATTTCACCACGTGTTGGTATTCACCATACTGACAATATTGACTGTCAATGCTGACAACACAGGCTTTTTAAAGCTTCTAATCCACTTCAGGTTTTTTTTAGGGATGCACCGATACCGAGCTCCTGTACTCATACTCGTACTGGTTAAAATGCCCCGATACCAAACGCTGATACCACATAGCATGTGATAAGTGCCATATTCAGACAAAGAAACACCGACAACAGACAGCAGAATGGAGTTATTAGAGATTAAAGATGTCTACGAAATATATGTTTGCAATGAATATAAAACATTCAGTATTAATGCCTGTATAGCTGATTTGCGCCAGCTGGTAAGCAAATCACACTGAGTGGATTGAGGTATGCGGCAGCGCAGATGCGCGAGCTTGTCGAGTGAATATCCCTTTCTCACAGACATCACTGGAAAGCTTGTAGTTCGGTCGGATATGTCAAAAAGAAGTAAGTAAAACAATGCACAAGTTACTTAATGGTAGGGAGGAAGGGAGGGAGAGAGAGAGAGAGCGCGCGCACTTCTGTTGTGTGTGACAGCATGCCCAGGAGACTATATGCTGTCATTAAGGCTAAGGGTCAACTGACAAAGTATTGATAGTTGTGTAAATATTGACAGCTGTATGAATAATTTTTGGTTTATTGTAATCCATTACATACCTTTCTATCAAAGTTATCTGACATTATCAAGCTGAATTTGTTCTGACACAGTTTAACTCTGAGTTCTTCTCATATTTTATTACCATTTTCTAAACTATAACAAATAAACTGTGATAATGTGAGAAATGTTGAAGGTGTCTGAATAAATTTTGGTTTGACTGTATCTATTTGATAAATTAAGTTAACCAACTAACATTATACATACTCTTTTGGTTTCTGTACCCAATATTTTAAAAATGTACAAATGCAATGAAAATATTGGTATCGGTACTCAGTATCGGCAAGTACCAAAAATAAAAGTATCGGTATCGGGCGAGTACTGGAAAAAGTGGTATCGTTGCATCCCTAGTTTTTTTGTAATGCAAATTCATAGTAGCAGGAGAAAAAGAAAACCTGTAATCTACAAATCTGCTTCAGACCATTAAAGAGACCACAGTTTTCCTAAAATTTTAGATGCTGGTTGCCACATTTACATCAAAACTAAAAAACGTTTAAAAATATCTGTTTGTCTATGCAGTCTTTAACTAAGCTTGTGCATTGGATTTAAAAAAAAATGTAGTTTGAACCAAGTTATCAACCAAAACAAAACTTTAATTGTTTAATGTTTGAAAATGAAATTAAGACAGTATTAGTATTGTAAGTTTACACCTGTACAGTAAAATAAATTATTATTATTATTATTATTATATTTGAACACTTTTTTTATTTTGCAGTAAAATTTTACTTTAGTCATTTATTATTATTACAAAGCAAATTTTTTATTGCAAATTTTATTAGAAAAATCACAATTAGATTTCTTTTCTCCAAATCGTGCCTATTCAGTGTTTCCCCTATAGGTTTACAGCTTTTGAGGGGGGGGTTCTGTTTTTTCCATTTAAATTTTTCTGGACTTCTTTTTAATGGTTAAAGGGTTAGTTCACCCAAAAATGAAAATTAGGCTGTGTTTTACTCACCCCCGATGCATCCTAGGTGTATAAGACTTTCTTTTTTCAGACGAATCCAGTCGGAGTTATATAAAACCAACAGTCCTACACGGAAGCAGCTCCGGGCAGATGACGTATGAGGTCGGCTTTCAAATGCTCATGAAGTGACTCTCAGAGCAGTTAGTGAGATGGCAGACGTTAATATCACCGCAAGCGTCACGCGCGCTTCAGTACGAGTAGTAAACAAAACCTTGTATTCATTAACACATAGACACGCAGAATTCATATTTAAATAGTCGTTTTGCGGCTTAATATTCACAAATAGTGGGAGTGGGAGTGTGCTCACTTGTGTGTGTGAAACGGGGCGGAACTCCGCTGTGCGTGATGCAGAGAGCGCAACCATGTAATGTAGAGACAGAAATGACATGCCGTCATGTAAATAAGAGGGCCGCCCCCCTAATATAATGGCATGGGAAACACTGCTATTTTAAATTTTAACTAGGTATGAAAAATGTGCTATATAAATAAATTTAGCCTTGGCTAAAGGGTATAAAACATGTGGAGAAATTCATAACTTGCTGATACAACATAAGATACAAAAAATAAAAATTCATTCGCTCTCCATAATCTCCATAAACCTGTACAGACAAAGAAACACACTGAATACGAGGATTATTATCTGCCCTCACCTCTGGGCCTCACGCTCGTCTTTGGGGTTGTAGTTGGAGAGACAGTCCAGGATGAAGATCTGGCCCCACTCAGTGCATTCGTTGAGGGCTGTCAGGAGCTTATTGATGTTCTGAGGATTCAGGTCCAGAAGGTTGCTGTTGGGATGAGACTCACTGATCTCAGACAGAGCAGCAACTGCATTAGCCACAACCTACGAGTAAATCAGATATTAGTAAAGTATTATGAATGGGGAAGTATGCATACAGGACAATTAGATCAAAAGTATCTAACCATGGGGTTGGAGTCAGCAATCAGGTCCCTGAGAGAATCCAGGAAGCCCTGGTCCTCCACCATCTGGGCGTTGATGTCATGTAGTTTGGCCACACACACTGCTGCGGTCTTCCTCACATAGGGGTCTTCATCCTTCAGACACTTTCGCAGAGGCTCACACAGGTACTCGGTGATCTTGTCCACACGGATACAGCCCATTGTACGCACAGCTAGAGCTCGGATCAGAGGGTTTGGATCCTCACAGTCCTAAAAAAAAGAAAGAACAACTTCAGACCTCCTGGTGGAATTTCACAAAAATAAAAAGTCAATGTATAGTACAGTGAAGTCCAAATTTGAACTTTAACAGCAATTCTTACCTTGACAAAGCTGTTAACGGCCATGATGGCCATGTCAGGTTGACTCTTGGCATAGTTCATAAGGTACAGGTAAACCAGTTTCTTCAGCTCCAGGTTATCGGTCTGCATGCAGTTTACCACATCTGGAAACAAGGAACTAAAGAAGCAGGTAAAAAGGTATTAGCTTAAAGGGGTCATGTGATGTGGCTAAAAAGAACATTATTTTGTGTATTTGGTGTAATGAAATGTGTTTATGCGGTTTAAGGTTAAAAAAAAGTTGATGTATTTCATTAGCGACCAGCACGGATCAGCTCCAGGCATGGCGAAGCGGATATCATCCTCTTTTGGAAGGCCAAACAAAGTCGTTTCGCTTTCATAACAAAACACACAGCGCCTTCACGCCATGGCAGCGGCGGCAACAACAATACTACAGCGAGAAGAAAAGTTACGCCTTCTTTCTTTGCGTGAACATTTGGGCGGCGTTATGCAAATCTTCCCACATAGTGATGTAGAGACAGAGGCCTAGAGTGAGCGGAGGACGGCGGGCTTGCGGCAACCACATGTGACGTCCCCGGGCTGGACGCCGCTTCGTCCACGGTGAAAGCCGATCCGGCGATCCACAGCGCGAAGTTGATGTA